GGGGGTGAGGGAAGAGTGACTCCCAACAAAAGCTCAGATAACATCACCTCTTGCAAAAGGAGGTACAAGAGTGACCCTTGCCAACATGCAAGACACCCCATGTGCTCCAGCCACATGCTGCTCAAATACCAGCAGTCCAGTCATAGCACCTGCCCACAGAGCATTTTAGAATTAAGCTAGAACCAGGTGTGCGTGCCGTGCGGCGCCTGCCCAATTTGGCAGGAAATGTGTCGTGCTGTGACCACCACCACGCACGTTGAGGGCGACAAGGGAGACCAAGAGCTCATCAGCGCTCCAGCTGCTGTTTACATTCCCATGCAGTTTGCTCCTGTATCCCCACGGGTTTCTTCAAGCCTCCCGCTCACACTATAGATACTCCACAGCCCACCTGCACTAAAAGCTAGGGTGGCACTGGAGGGCAGCCACTGCTGGGAGCCTGCACCACAAGGGCGCCGCAAAGCTTGGCTTCTCAGGCGTCTGCTGTGGGCCCAGATGGCTGCATGGGGCTGAAGCTGTGCCTTTCTGCCTGGCCCACTGGGTGGCTCCCCACCTGCTCCAGGCGCCGCACCAGCCCTGGTCCTGGTCGAGACACACCGGGGAAGGCGAGAACCCCAGCTTAGACGGGGTGGGGAAATGCTGAAATCGAAAGTGCTGCTAAGGCAGAATGGCTTGGAATGGGGGCCAGGCAGAGCGAAGGGAGGCTCAAGCGCCAGCGGGATCTGCTGGGGGCCACACGGAGTGCTGCACTGCACTGCCCACAGCACTGGGGGTCACACGAACGGGAAGGATCCCACAAGGCTTCCCCACAACCTGTTCCCTAGAGTGAAGCTTTGGGGTTGCTGGAGCGTGTTCTCATGCAACCAGAGCAATCACAACAGTCTTTGGTGGCCAGTTTAGTACTGGCCGTCTGCTCGGCACATGCAGCTCAGAAAAGCCGGGCCCCACCATAAGGATGCACAAGCTAGACAAACCCAGACCGCCCGGGAAAGGGAGAAATACACTAGCCAAGCCAGGATAGGGACAGGCATGGAGAACTGTGGGAGCCCCGGCGGAGGTGCAGTGCGTGCAGCAGAGGAAGCGGTAAGTGGGCCTCCGGAAGTCCTACCACTGCCACACGAGTGGGGTGGGCGTTCTGCCCCGGGACAGGTTCACCTCAAAGGGGAGTGTCAGGGGAGACTGCGAGTTACTTGTGCAAGAGGCACCCTGAGTAAATACGGGATGTGAACGACCAGGCGATACGCAGCTGCTTATCGGACAGTCGCTGCCCCGCCCTTGGTGCCTCTACCAGACAGAGGGGAGGAAAAGGGGCTGCTTCAAAGGAGCTGCGCTGTGTGGACCCTGGGGGCAGCTTTGAAATGGAACATCCCTAGTTGAATATGAAGTTTGGGTGCTAAGGCAATGGAATGAAACTGCATTAGCTGCTGGTCCCACCCATGACTTCTAGCCAGCACATTGATGGGCTGAGCAGGGAGCTAGAATGGCCCCGAAGAGCCGAGCCCGTTCTGAGAGACAAGCCAGGCACGGCTGCTGGAGCAGCCTCTTCCCCTGGGACTTGGCCACATTCTTACACTGGTGGCTGAAGACGAACAGCTCATAACTCGACACCAGACTCCCCTCACCCCCCCCCCCGAACGCCCCGTGAGCCTCTCCCAGCCTCCAGCGGTGCACCTCTGGCCTCCAGGCCCCGCGGAGCGCTGTTGGCTTGCCACCTGCCCCACAGCTCCCCTCACCTTCCGGAAGAGCCGCTGGCTGCCCCCACCTGCTGAGGTGGGGTAGTAAATATAAACATTGTGATCCTCTGCGCTGACTGGCTTCTCCACAAACGGCTTTGGGAAAACCGCTCCGTTCACCTCTACTTGGTCCTCTCCCTCCACTAGATTGCACTCTGCAGACAAGACACAGGAGCAGGTCAGGGAAGGTGGGCAACCTGCTGCAGGGACCCCTCGCTCCCGGGGCCTGGCCAAGCAGCGGCGTTGGGCCCGTCTACCCGCATCAGGGCGGCACTCTACCCAGGCTTGCCACCAGGCTGATCTTTCACAAGCTCTTAGGAGCTCACTGCACCAGGCAAGTACTTCCTAACAGCCAGGATGCTGGGGCGTGGAACGTGCCCACTGAGACTTTAGTAAGGAGGGCAGACGGGGAGCCAAGCACGAGGGATGTTAAATGCCTTTATACAGGGAAGCGCGTAGACGCTGAAGTGTCAACGGTTACATGTGCTGGGGCGGGAGACAGACGACTCCATGGAGCCGATGTGTGCGAGGAGCCCCACACACACCAGCTCCCCCCAACCCCCTGCGCTGTAGCCTCTGATCCAGAGGCAGCAGCATGGGAAATGGGGGGCGGGCTGCGTGTAACCTTGCACATTAACCCACAAGCCCAGGCTCATCAGGAACCGTTAACACTGTCACATCCCTAGCCAGCACCAGCTTGTCTGTAAATGGAGGTCAGGGAGCATCAGCAGCCCTTGCGCAGAGCTGTGCTACCCCAGACTCGGGAGGCGGAGCCCCTGGGAGAGGAACTTGTATGTGCCACTCCCGCTGCCCCAGGGGATGCTCACCATCTGGTTTGTCAGGGTCCCGATTGAGCACAGCGTAACGGGGCAGGTCTATGCCCTCCTCTTGCAGGATCCGGTACACTTCTCGCCTGCAAGGACAGGGCAAGTCAGCAGCAGCCAATGCAACAGGCGAGAGAGAGGTCACCAAACTGAGATTGGTCTAGCACTACGGACAGAGTAGAGTGAATGTAGCAAGGCCTGTTTGAGGCTCAGTACAGCCGGGACTAGAAATCTGGTCTGCAGGAGGGCTGGCACCAGCGGCCGTGGTAGGGCCACAGCATCACCACATAGGTCATGTGGAGCTAGACATCCCAGTGTCACCTTGAAAGCCCCGACAGATTTCCTTGTGGTCCCTTATTGATCCAGCCACCCCACTGAAGCCCAGGCGTTCCAGGAAGCGCCCTTGCAACAAGGTGAACTTCCTTGCCAGCTGCAGTAACTGACCTGCCTCTCAGGTGTTCTGGGATTCCTGTCCCCTGGTTCCCGGCCTCTGCCACTCTAACCACTAGGCATCCCCATACTGCATGGCCACGGTGCCCAATTGCCCAAGCCTCAGCCATGACATTGAGGCAAAGCAGCCACATGCACCTGCCCAAAGATACTTAGTAAGCCTGTGCACAGCAGAGCTCGACCACCCTGAACAAGGACCCTTGGTCACGGATCCATAGGACTGGTGCTACATGCTGTGTGGGCCAGATCCCCTGCCTGGATCTAGCCCCCAAGCTCAGAGCACAACCCCCAGCACTGGGGAGCCTGAGCTGATGCCCCAGCCCCCTGCTGCCCCACTGGACAGCTGGAGCATGCAAACAGTCAGGGCACCCCCATCCCTACATGACCCCACCCAGGGGAGGTGGGACTTGAACCCAGGCGTCTGTCCTCCCCAGGGGCGCTCGACACCGTCTCCACCTCTATCCCTCAGCCCGCCCTAGAGCAGCTTGTCCCTTCCCCCTCACTGAGACAGTGAAAGGCTGGGCCCCCTAGGCTCTGGTGGGCAAGGCTAATGTGTGGAGGGTCCTTCCCCTCAGTTGGGGGCCATGTTAGTGAGGGGTTTCCCTTCTCACTTGTGTGACCCGACTGATTTGCCTGTGGGTCAGCAGCCCCCAGCCCAAGTAAGGTTCCCCACCCCGCTCTAGACAGGCTCACTTCCTCTGGGGTAAGCCAGGCAGCTTCCCTGCCTCAGACTGAGCCTCTGGGCCAAAAGCACCTCTGCTCCCTATCATGAGCCTTGTTCAGCAAATCCAACCGCCTCCCGATGGAGCCTCTCAGTCTTCGGGAATTAACTCGCGTCACCTGGCACTTGTAGGAACTCAGCGGGGTGAGAGCAGCGTGGCTCAGTCAACGAGCACAGCCTAGTCCAGTGAAGCCCTTGTTCAACTGTCTCATGGCCTGGACCAGGCCAGGCGAACACAGACACACAGACACACAGACACACAGACACACAGACACCCCACCGCCTGGCATTGTTCAGCTTTGCTAAGGAGAGGCAGGGCAGTCCCTCTGGGTCATTGCTTGCTAGGTGTCAAATTTCCTAGCAACTAGGTTTACCACGGTCTTCTCAGATGCTCCACTGACTGGAAGATGAAGGCCCAGACAGCCAGACAGCGTCTCCACCTCTATCCCTCAGCCTGCCCTAGGGCAGCTTGTCCTTTTCCACCTCACTGACAGTGACATGCAAGGAAACCAAGGGCCAGACAGGACTCCAAACTCTTCCAAAGTATTCCAGCCTAACGGTAGCTGGGGGCCCACCACGCGCCCCCGCACCCACCCATCTGAACAGCAGCCCCAGGGCAGCAACATTAAGTGTGGCAGAGACCACGGGAAGCCTCGCTCAGTCAGGGACACCAAGCAGCAGCAGAGTCCTCTCACCACAGGTCCCAGACGGGGAAGCGGAGTTTCACGCCAAGAGTTCTCCGTGTCTGCCCGTTTGAGCTTGAGCCCATGTTAGCCACACAGCTCAAAGGCAGCGCTTGGGGCATGTGTCCATCAGGAGCACTAACCCGCACCTGGTGACCAAGGAGTTAACTAGTGCCTCCTAGCCAAGGTATCAGGTGGTCAGCCAAACAATGCAGGAGAGTCTACTGACCGTGGCAAGTAGATTTCAGCCGCGAGCCCCTTAAGTGGGGACGCGTTTAGCTAGTCTGTCAGGGGTATTGTTTTCCTTGTTTGGGGATTTCAAAATAAAGCTGGAGCTTGCTATGCGGTTTTTCCTCTTTTTAACACAGCCTTGAGCCCAGGGACTTTCCCTGAGTATCTGTAGCAATGGTGGCTCTTTCCATCCACCCAGTTTCCTGTGCTTGCAACTGTAGTTTTGTTTG